AGATATCTATCTATTTCTAAATTTATTATATTTTTCAGTTTTTTCTACCCCTATTTCATATATAATTCTTTTAAATTCGGTTGATTAGACTTAGCTTTATATACAATCAAAGTTATGGATCTTTGATCGCGTATAAAGCTGGGTCTAATTAATAAATTTAGTAAAAATTTTATATAATACTTATATATAACATACTTAAAAATTGAAGGAATTTAAAAGTGAAAGAATTGTTATGTTATATGGTATTATATAAAATTTTTACTAAATTTATATTAAAATAGAACTTATATATAAGGTATCTAGAAATTTGAAAATTTATTGCGATCGTTTGCGATTTTTACATTTCTCCTCAATTATAGAATAAATTTTCACAGTTTTGCGCTAGACCATTTTCGATATTTGGGCTGAACATAAACAATCAACAACAAAATTTGATGCTACATTTGCTTATATTTTGCAAAAGTTTTGCAAAAATTACTACTGAAATAAAAGAAAAAGAAAAATTGGTGCATTAGATACTAACACAAGAAAACTCTGGATTACGCTAACTTCGCTAACTCATGTGCCATGCTAATGAGTAGCCTAGGAAATGCCGTGTTTGAGGGTTAAATGTCATTATAAAGATTTTTCTTCAATATATTGTTTAAAAAGACGCATTATTTTTGGAATAGGAATTAAGTCCCCCTAGATTGTCGAAATATCACACTGTGCGGTGTTTAACGATTTTTCTACATTTTTTACATTTATAATATAAAATTTAAATATTGTTTTTATGTGCCAAATGTTTTCTCCGTATATGTGGTACGCATTTTGAAAATGTATCAAATAAGATATACAGAATAAATGACGTGAGATTTAAGAAAAAGAAACTTTTCCCACAATTATAATTAATGAATAATCGCGTTGTTATAAATAATATATGCAAATCTTTATAAACTTTTATATTGATATAAATATATCTCGTTATATTTTTCATTTTCTACCAAAATTATTTTTAATATATTCATATATATTACTGCATGCAAAATTGAATATATAATTGTATTATACGATCAATTCTAAAATAATTTAAAAAGTTCAACGTTTCTCGACAAAATATTTAGAATCTCACGTCACATATTACTTGACCGGTATAAAACCACGTTCTCAATCAAAAATAGATGGATAGGTTACAAAAAATTATGGTAAAATCAATGCTTCATTGAAATAAATTTTAGTTAATTAATTAAAAACAATTATCACGTTTTCTATAAAATAACTTGCATAATAAGACCAACATATTTCTTGTCCTTTTTATACATATGTATTTATATTTATGCATATTCTACGCTTTTCTTTATGCATACCGATATTCTAAATATATCTATTTGTTGCTTCCTTGCATCGATTTATATAATATTTAATCTTGGCTAAACATGTGGAAAGGAACAAATAAAGGGTATGAATGAAACACATCCTAACTACGTCATGATTTTTCCCTATCTACAGATATTTTTTTTATAACATCTAACACGATATCTTATTCCTTATCCCTTTTGTTTGAGAAAAATAGTGCCAAAAATAATTCTTTAAAGAAATCTAAATAAAATATTTATATTACAAAAATCATTACTTTAATTGTCAGAAGATTATTTTACTTTTTGTCTCGTGTACTTCTAAAATATTTATTACTCAAAGTAGAATTAATATATGTAACAAAATTTGGAAAATTTAATTTCTTATGTACTTAAAAAATTTATCAAATTTTATTCAGATATTTTTGCGCGATTTATCTATATTTAAGAAATATAAAAGAGGTATTATTTATACCTACAGAACGCGGCAGACCGTCAACATAGTTTGATGAACGATAATGAGTTCTTCGCGAGCTCCGTGCGTGCAAAGTGTGCGAGTTTTTCCTCAAGCACACGTGCACAATAAATCAATAAAGAACTGACACCAAGATTAAATATTTTTCCGTAATTAGTTTTAGCCCATCCATTTTAAGACAACAAATCTACGAGATGTAATATTTTTAGAGTACGTTATTGTCGTACGTCGATATGTTCCGAGATACAATTGCTCTATATCTGACTAATCGTAGATTTGTTACCTCAATAAAAAAAATTCTGACTCACCACGCCGATGTGCAACGGGCGGAGTTGTTCAGCCACGTAGCTACGGTGATACTGTAACATACAAACATAAAATTCAAATTAAAGAAGCGTTCAAAATGATCAACATTTCAAGATATAATTTTTACGCGCAACTAATTTGTCTTTCAATAAAATATTTAGCAACACACGTATATCTGTGTTCACCGAAAACGATCTTTACAAGAGTATATAAAATTTTAGATAATCTTTTCTCTACGTATTTTTAATTTATCGAGATAAAACACGTCGAATAAATAAAAAAGAACTATTAATTTTACGCAGATATAAGAGATGATACTCACCCCAAGGTTGCTCCGCCGGTGCCCGATGCCTCTTTCAGGCCTCCTCCTCCTCTCAGGAGATACTTAGGCTTCCTCGTCTCACCGCACAGGACACTCGCGAGAAACACTCGCGGATGATAAACTACACGCGCGCGCGGACTATGTTCTGTTAAAAGTCTTTCTCGCGCGATATTGTACGGCACTCCCGTTTAGAAAAGTCCTTTAGTCCGATTACTTGAACGGCACTCCCGAAGCAAACGCGACGAACCGGCTGCGGTTCGTTCATTCAATTAAATCGGCGGACGAGGGTACGTTAGCTTCCCCGTCTTTGAATTTTTATCCAAGCAGAACAAGAGTTTTGCTTGGGTAAAATCCTCGTACTGGGTACTGAGCCTTCCCACCTCGCCAAGGTCGTACCCGTGGGAAGGAAGTACTTTACTCTGTAATATAAAATCGGGTAACATGAATTTTTCATGCAAATTTGAAGGAGTCGCGACGCCGCGTGCTCCGCGTCGTTCCGCGTTCATCACCGCGTTACCGGCGATACTACGCAAGTCGAGCGGACGGTTAATAAAAACACGCACTTCGTTAATCAGAGATACGTTGTTGAAATTAAATATCGCACTCATGCACAGTACGTACGGTATCAAACTCGTAAATCTCGCGAAAGTATAACTACATTTTATTAATATGCACAACGAAGAATCGTGACAGCCGGCCGCTAATCTTACGCGACGCGAGATATACGAAAATCCGAGATTGTGAAGCATTCACGAACGGGCGATGTATCGCGGCGCCGCGGCGCGGCGTTCCGTTATCACCGATCGAATCACCGGAATCACTTGACACGATCAATATCACTCAGCCCTTTTTCCCTACGGAGAGAATCGGAGCTAAATCACACGACACGTCCGGCACGTCAGCGTTCTTCGCGAATCCAGACATGGCGGGAGGAGCGACTGTCACTCGCGAATATCACAGCGCGACTGCAAAGCAAGTCGTTCATACATACCTCCGCCTCGACGTCTCGAGTGAGCGCGTTGCGCGACACGTTCATTCCGATAAACACCTCATACACTCGAAACTTGTTTTACACACACGGCACACGGCACACACGGCACACGGCGCGGGGTACTCGATCGCGTAGCGCGTATTCCCGCGGCCCGCGAAACGAGGAAGCAGGAATGCCAATCACACCGAAACGAGCGCGTTCCGAAAACAGCACGAAGCACGGTGACGTCGGTGACGAGGGCGCGCGGAGCACAAACACTTCCTACCTGTGCGAAATTCCTCGGGAGAATGATAACTGAGTCACTGACGCAGGTAACACTACTCCGAGCTTTGACGGAAACAAGTGACAAGTCCGCTCATCGCCAGAAACAACGTCGAAAACGCGCCGATCTTCGAGGTACGGACACGGAGCTTTCGAGTTCAAACTTCAACGGTCGCGCCGCTAGTACGGACTGCGCAGGTGCCTACACTGCCTACTACGTCACCGTCACCGTATCGATCCGCCGCGCCGGCCGGCGGCGCGGAGCGGCGGAACGTGATTGGCCAGATCCGGGGGCGCTACGCGACGGTGGCTGTTTAATAGGAACAGATATTTTTGCGCGATTTATCTATATTTAAGAAATATAATATTGTAATTGTACAAATATAAAAGAGTTTTATCTATAATTTTACATACGTATTTCCAATATATGTGTACATTTTAATATATATTTCATATACATGCATATTCGGGAATCGAGGAATGGAACGTAACAATTCTAACCATCATTTTTTGCCGCGATATATATTTCGTACAAAATCTTTCGTTAAAGTTGCTTAAATTTTAGTATAGATATGTATAGAATTTCGTGGCGGAATTTGGGATAGAGTTCTGTTTATAATTTTGTGTACCGTATATTGCGAGAGAGAAATTTATAGAAACTTCTCAACTATATATAAAATATATATATCTATTAAAATACACACGCACATTGGAGTACGCATAAAAATTCTTCTTTCTTAATTAAAGAGGCACGTTTTGTAAATATAATATTAATTGATACTAATATAAATTTTAATTTATATATTAGTATCACGTAATATATCATTTAATTTAATATTTTTATATATCATTTAAATAAAAAATAAACTTATAGGTATTATTTAAGTTATTATATATTTTATTATAAAAATATAATTTATAAATTATTTATATACATTGCACAAATAAACACTGCACAAATTTAAATAATAAAATAGTTTCATTTACATCGTCATCTTAATTTTCTCTACATCACATATAACATATCATACACATATATATATTATATGTATGTGTAATACATAAAAATATCATCAACAGGTGCAATCAGATGCAACTCCCGGACTCCCCTCATCCAGCTGGCTAGTTCAGACACGAACCATTAGCACGGACGCAAACCATGTGCGGTTACCGAGCGAAACAACGTAGTTGAGCTGCACTTTCTCAGGCAGCGCGTCGGAAAATGCAACACGAAAAAGGCCGGGATGGGCGGATGGCCTCTCTCAGGTTTCTCTCTGACTCTACCGTTATCGCCTGGCTAAACCGATAACAACATCGCGGTGCTATCGATCTGGAACGATCTGAACCGAAGGCACACTTATACACCATCGTGACCGCGTGACGTTCGTCCGGCGTTCACGCTGTTCTGGATTTTCATGCGGGATACAACGCACAGTGCCTGTGTCATTCCCGTTCGATCCCGCAACACGGCAATACCTCACGGCGCGCCAAACGAGAACGTCGTTTCCAGGTCGACGAGCGGGCGGCTGTGGGATGGCTTGCGAGGCGTGTAACGCCAAGTTCAACCTGTTCAAGAGAAAAGTGAGTGAGCATCCTCCGTCGTGGCATCTGGCGCTTTTTCCCCCACGTCGAACGAGGGTCCCGAAGGACGACGGTCCGACGGTTCGACGATTCTCTCGACGTCGAGCTGTGTATATATCTCTGGACGATGAATCCGAGCCTCCTTCGAATTGTCACGCAAATATCGTAGCGTCAAGTGTGTCGTCGATTTCGCTGCGCACTAAACTATTATATTGAGATTAACATTTGACCTCTATCCCCCCCTCCGTTAGGTAATCCTAGAATTTTTCTCGATTACTTTACGGATTTACGGTTTACATCCGGTTCGAGGAATTTTGGATTTTCTGGTTGAACCCGATCGATTCTTGATTGGGAAATCCTGGATTTATAGTGTTGTGACATATTTTTTATGTTTCTTGTGTAACTTTTAGAAACAATGCGTGGACTGCCTGAGGTACTTCTGTTCCGAATGCGTGATCAAACGGCTGGACAAGGTGTTCACTTGCGACAGCTGTGGCCTGTTGTCCAGGAGGCCGCTTATCAGGAATCAAATCAGACAAATACGTTCGAGGGACTTGCGTCAGTACCTTGTGGCGAAGAAGGTTTCTGTCAGGGGTTGCGTCGGTATGTGCGCATTAATATACTGCCCGCCAACAAATCTCTCTGTAACAATAGCTTGTTAATCGACACTAATCTTGTAGGAACTCGAAGAATTTTTTTTATAGAGCCGTACTTTGATTTCAGAAAAAGAGGACTTGGTACATCTACTAATGCTCTTTGCTAATGGAACTGACTCGTGCTTGAGCTTCGACCACAGTACAAGCGCCAGGACACAAAATGCTGCCGAAGAACCACAGTACGTTTTACATTTCAGTATGTTTTATTGATATCGACACTTTAACTCTTTGAAAGCCAGATTTTGTAACTGACAAGGACTCTTGTCATTTTATTTTAATACAAAATCCATGCAAATTACATATGTTTTATTAATATCGACACTTTAACTCTTTGAAAGCCAGATTTTGTAACTGACAAGAACTCTTGGCATTTTATTTTAATACAAAATGCATGCGATTTACATATTTTTTCTTAAATAATACTTTAAAGTATTACGTCTATTCAGTTCCAGGATTGACCCCGGTTCAAACAGAATGGAAAACATGCCAAATGTCAGTACCGCGAATAATGAACCTGACGCGGAGGCGCCAGCGGAACCCGTAAGAAACGAGGATGTCGAAATGGCGGAGGAAGCGAGTGAAAGCAGTGACAGTAGCCCAATTATTAGCGTTCCATTTAGCAGCGATAACGAATCACCCGGGGAGAAACCAACGAAGGGTAGTGACGTCGAAATAGAAGAAGTATTTGAGAGTGATAACAATCCAACCGGGCCTAGTACCGCACCAGAGCCAGTAATCACCGAACAGGAGGAAGTTCCCGAAACGTCAGACGAGAAAAAATCGGATATGGTCACAGAGATCCCCACGGTACGTACATGATTGCAAGCAACACTTATAAAACACATGCATTCATTGTAATTATGTCTTCTCTCTTCTCCCAGTGGTCAGACAAAGTGCAATTGTCTGATATAAAGGAAGCGTCGGAACTAGAGTATCTAAGCATTAAACAATTAAAAAATCTGTTGAGTACAAATCGCGTGGATTATAAAGGCTGCATAGAGAGACAGGACTTACTGAACAAAGTTTCCAGATTATGGCACGAATATAGTCAATCCAGAAAGGGTAAGATACATTATATTATAACGCAATTTGATAGTAATATTTATATTCAAATTAATTTTAATGTCTATTACGCCTTAAATAACAAATATTTACACATATAAATGATGGTTTAATATAAAAGATATATATGTTTTATTATTTCTTTAGCACTTATCGCAAATAAATTGTTACAGATGTGGAAAAACTCAGCGAGGAAGAATTGTGCAAAATCTGCTGGGACGCACCGATCGAGTGTGTAATTTTGGAATGCGGCCATATGGCTTGTTGTATAAACTGTGGTAAACAAATGTCCGAATGTCCGATATGCAAACAATATGTCGTTCGTGTTGTACGATTTTTCAAAGCTTAAAAAAAGGCAACGATCGGAATATAATAGGTGATTATAACTTTGTAAATTTGGAAATTTGAAATCCCAAGTTAAGTCCTCCTTTATCTTTTAGATTATTACGTGCCTGCCAGTTGTCATAGATCGATTCTGACGTGTATATGGTAAAACACCAAATTTTTGTCCGATAATTTACGGCGCATTTTGATAAACATTAGAACTAGGTCTGCATAAGATTTATGCAAATCTTATGCAATTGTCTTGACTTTAAATTCTAAATTGGCTAGTTGTATAGCGTTTTTTATCAATTGAAATACAATTCAGAACTTTCCAGACGGAGGATAATATTTTGAAATAAATATCTATATTATAGTATATTATATCAAATCAAACTACGTATACATATATATATATCCACACCATATACATATATATGTATATGTACGTATATATGTGCATATATTGCAATGAATAACGCTAAGGGTATAATATATGAAGTTTTTATATTATGGAGTTGTGTGTATGTGTGCGCACATATGTCGTAACACTCCAATCTCCTGTGATCCCGGAAATTTTATAAATTCTGTATTGTACAAAATGTATCTTTTTTATGAAAATAAATAATACGTAGATTAATTCTGAATGTACATAGAATTAAAATAAACTACAGCTTATGTTCATAAAACGTTTGAAATTGTAATTTTTAAAATTTTAGTTTTTAATTTAATTATATGTCACGAATGGAGAACGAGAGAGAAGTATTTCTGCCATACTTTTCTTACATTTCACATAAATAAATTCTAACATCTCTTTAAGTTCAATAGCGAAGCGATATCGAGTCATTAAGGTTTCGAGTCATTTTGATTTTAAAAATTGATAGAGCACAAGTTGCAGCATTGCTGCGTTTTTAGCGTTGCATTCAAATTGTGCTTAAATCACGAAATCGCAACACCGTTCTTGTCACATATTACTGATTGTCTTTAATGATAGTTAAGTATTCTCTTGATACTTAATCAATTTTTGTAGCTTAAAGTTTGTCCAATGGTACCATCGTCGATTGTGGTCAGGAACATCAGAAGCAGCACAATCCTTTGTGCAAAGCTAAACGGGACGCGCTGCGAGACTACAACATGGATGATCGCGGTGAAACTACGGAGGAATGGGCTGGCAAGAAGCTGACCTTCATGCGGCTAGTGTCGTCCAGGCTGGGACGTCCCCTGAATTTGGATGAGACAGAAATGTTCTACTTTTCAAAGGGGTGCCTGGTTTGCCATGAACGGGATGCTCAGTCGTTGAAGGATTGTCAGAAGTGTGTTGCCAGCTTTTGTCAAAATCACAAAGACGGTACTTTGCACAGGAACCTCTGCGCTCCCCTGGAACTATAGCTTCGTACACATTTATTTTCTGTAGGAGAGAAAAGCAGTTCTCCGTACTTGCATTCTTACTTGCAACACGTTTCATACATGGGTACATTTCAGAACATGAAAGACTTTATAAAGGCTTTTGGGAATATTCAGACTGACTCGGAGATGCTGTACAATGTCTTGGCATCTGTACAGTCAGACCATCTGACATGTTCCTTAACGTTGTTTCATGCAATTATTAAACTATGTCCCAAAAAGTAAAAATCTAGTCATTCATGGTCTAGGTGCGAATTGTGCCGAAGAAAATCTTGAAAGATTGGGAAATTTTGCCGCGTTTAATAGGAACCATGGTGTCAATGGTAGTTATATTGATAGGGCCGGAATTAACACGTAAATTAAATCCGTCACACGTTTGCGATAACTGTAGGTCACGAGAGGAAAAATGTTCGACGTTTGAGTTTCACGATGTGTTATACGAGAACTACGTACGCAGCCCGTAATTCGTAAAACCGGACTTGGGTAGGGTTTCACCTGGATATTTACGAGCATAAATTTGGGTCCAGTGAGGAAACGTGGGCGCCGTCCATACAGATGCTAGCGAAACAAAATTCTCCGTTTATCTTAACGTTTATCACGCTTCAAAGCTTAGAGAAGGGGACAAACAAAATAAACACAATCCTGGATAAGGAGGTAGACTATCTATATAGCGGAAAAAATCCATTCGCTAGTTTACATCCGATTAGATACATCGCGCCGAAGTACGTATTTTATATGAATCAATATGTAATTATCTACAAAAGTCTTTGTTCGTAAAATATTTGCGTAATTTAAGCGACCGACAAACTATATAAATGCTGATGTGTTTTATGCCGAAGAAAACGTAGCTCGCGCGAAATGACACACACGAATTAACTGAACTTAATGTTTAATAAATGTAACGGAAGGAGAACGCAAAGAAAAATATACGTACATCCTGCGAATTGCGACGTGTCTTCACGAAATAAACTGCAAAAGACTGAGATTCGACACTCCTGAATGTCTGCTTATATTTACAATCCAAGAAGCCATTATCTACCTGTAGAATCGATTATCTTTATATCAGTCGAGCATAAATGGATTATAAATATAAGAGTGGATGCGGTAACGTAAAATATCGTCATTACAATGGCTATTGCTTTTAGTTCCGTTTGTAACGAAGACAAAACTTTTCTATAATTTTTCTAATAAAATTTATATCTTTGTAATAAAATATATATCAAGTATTTATATATAAGAAAAGGCAATTATTTCTTCTCCATCGATATTTCTGAAATTTCTGATATCACATGCACGTGCGCCGTGTGCGACGCGTGACAGATTCACAGATGCTTGCCATAGTCGACGATCAAAACAATAACAGAGGTCGAGTGGCTATAGCACTTGTGGCAGTATCCGCAGTATAATAGTTCCCCGCCGTTCTTTACGTGAGTAAGTATCGTTTCGCGGAGGGTGTATTTCAACGAGATTATAAACGTTATCAATAATTTCATATATAGGTATGTGGTAAGATTAACAAAATTCAATAATTGATTCTGCATAAAATAAAGTAAAAGCCCGTTTATCACAGATTAGGAACGTAGGGGGGTCAGGTTACAGCATATATATTTACAGGTAAGAGCATATTTACAGATTTGCGATTCGAAAAGCACGTTTATTTATTTTTGCAGGCTTCAGCCTCACGCAGATACCAGAGCTAAGTTGGTAGCGACCTGAAGAAGTTTCGTTCTCGAGTACTACCGTATCACGAAGCAGGCAGTCCTGGATATACGCCAAGTACACACGAATCCTCCATTTGTCTATTTGATAACGCCAGCATAAACAGTATCCTTCCTATTCATTGCATGGAATGATAATTATTCTAACAACTTTGTCATATTTTGCTTAACACTCACGTCCTGTGGGTGCAACCTGTGAAATCACACCATTCCAAACACTATATTTGTCCTTTACACTAAAGGAAACTTTGATACAGCGAGACTGTGTATAGGCAGAAGTCATGGAATCAGAAGCGAGAAATCAAATTAATAACGATTATAACGAGTTCTTCTACGCGACCATGTGTCACGTTTGCAAACGGTTTGGCGACGGCGTCCAATTGAAGAGATGCGGTGGCTGCAAGATGATCTCGTATTGCAGTAAGGAACATCAGAAGCAGCACAGGAAGCAGCACAAACCTTTGTGCAAAGCCATACGGAACGTGCTGCGAAACTACAGTATGGATTATGGCGATGAAACTGCAGAGGAATGGGGCGACAAGAAGCTGACCTTCGAGCAGCTAGTGTCGTCCAAGCTAGGACGTCGCCTGAATATGACTGAGATGGATATGTTCTTTTTTCCAAAAGAGTGCCTGGTTTGCTACGACCAGAACATCAAGTCGTTGGAAGATTGTCAGAAGTGTGCTGCCAGCGTTTGTAAAAATCACAAAGATTGCATCCTGGAGCACAGGAACATCTGCGCTACCCTGGAACTATGTCTTCATTCAGATTTATTTTCTATGCGAGAGGAAGACAGTTATACGGACTTGGATGTTTACTTGCAACACATTTCCTGCACGAGTACATTTCAGAACATGAAAGACTTTATAAAGGCTTGTATGAATATCCAGACTGACTCGGAGATGTCGTGCAATGTCGGGGCAGTTTTAGACTCAGAATGTCTGACACATTCCTTAACGTTGTTTTTTGCTATGCGATTATTAAAGTATGTCCCA